TCCCAAGCACCCTACACAGATGGGCCACCCCGAGGGCACTCATTGGGCAAGGCTTGGCAATAAAAACCATAAGACTGGCACTTTTTGGTGATTTAAGAAAATAAATTTTAAAAAAATTCACAATAGGCCAGCACAGTGGCTCATGCCTGTAATCCCAGCACTCTGGCAGGCGGAGGCGGGCGGATCACCTGAGGTCCAGAGTTCAAGACCAGCCTGGTCAACATGGTGAAACCCTGTCTCTACTAAAAATACAAACCAATTAGCCAGGTGTGGTGGCAGGAGCCTGTAATCCCAGCTACTTGGTAGGCTGAGGCAGGAGAATTGTTTGAACCCGGGAGGGAGAGGCTGCAGAAGGCTGAGATCACACCATTGCACTCCAGACTATGGACAGAGTGAGATTCCATCGAGGAAAAAAAAAAAACATTTTTTTTCACATAATATGCAGTACCAACGAGCGTGCCAGTGAGATGGGCGCTCACAGTACAGCTGGGAACATACCACGAGTCGGTGCTCTGAAAAGGAAGGTAACATTTGTACCAAGGGCAGTAAAACATTCAGACTATTCAACTCAGAAATTCCACTCCTAGGAATCTCCAAAGGAAATCAGAGCTATGCAGAATATTCACACAAAAGGACGCGTCCTGCAGCAGTCCCCACAGAGCCCAGAATGGGCAACCTGCATGCTCAGCCACTGCCAGCCAGCGGCGCACACCCAGAGTGGAGCAGCTGCAGCCACTCAAATATTAAGTTTTAATGGCAACAGACAACATTTACGGTGTAATTTATATGATGGCTTCAATTACAGCGGAAAACTATGCATGAGGAATGGATGATTTTCCTTTTCTCCCTCTGCCTCATGCTTTCCTCCCACTCATCTACCAAACAATCTATAACCACAACAAAGGGGGCTGTGAAAGAAAAAGCCCCCCAGTCCCAAAAGACAACAAAACCATGCCCTGCTCCTCCTCCCTCCTGGGCCCTTGGGGACGTCAGACCCAAGGTGGCCACTCGCCTGCATGGCAGGCAGAACTCCCACTAAGAAAAATACCTGGATTCCCTGGTCCTGGGGCCCAGGTGGGCACTGCACTCTCTGGGATTGGACTCTCTGATCCAGGAGAGGAGTCCCCAGGGCTCCTTGTGGCCCAGGTTTTACGTGTGAAGTGCCTAGGGCAGGAAGCTCTGGTGTGAAGGCCACCGGAGCAGTACTGCAGAAATGATCTCCCAAGCCACAGGACCATCTAAAATGATCCTGTTGCCAAACATTCAGAAGTTTGCCTTACCATGTGTCTGCTTAAAATGAAGGGTTTTAAAAAATCTGCTTTTAGTAAAAATCTAATTAGGAACATCTTGACCACAGATTCCCTTCTCATCTCAACCAAAGGCCTCTCTAGGCAATGCAGGAGACAGTGACAGCCCCTGCCCAGTCCCCAGGTCCTGTTCATTGGCCCCAGTCACATGCTCTGGGTAACATCTGTCCCCATCACAAGGGTCTGTCCCTTGATCTCAAAGAAGAAAGGGATTATAAAGGTAAGGTGGAAGCTGTCATGTATCACAGAAACAAAGGCTTTCATCTAAGGCCACCCCCACCTGGTTCACCCCACCAAGGAGCCCCCCGGGTTCTCAGGGAACAGCATGGCATTCAAGACTGGCTGTGAACCTGAGTCACAGGGAAAGGGTGGGAAAGAGCCCAAGAAAAAACATTCTCATGGTGCCAGGATGAGGGCAGTGCCCACTTGGCATTAAACCACAGCAGTGTCAATGCATGGTGCAGGTGCCAGGGTGGCAGACGGGAGAGCGGCTGAGGCATCGAAGACAACAGGGGAGCCAAGGAACAGAAAGCCAGGGGAGGCTTCCTGGAGGAGGAAGCATTTGAGCACAGGCTGAAGGGGGGGAGGAGCAGGCAGAACAGTGGGGTAGGAGAGCAGCCGTGCCAGGTGGAGGGCACACAGGCCCAGCACCAGGAATTTCTGGAACCTAACAAGGCTTCAGGATCATGGAGGGTGGGGAAGGGCACAGGTCAAAGACGAGGTTGCAGGTATTGAGAGGGCTGTACACCATCAACCTGTGGGTCCTGCTGCCATCTTCCTGCAAGGAAGCACTGTCTCTGCAGGACAACGTCACGGAGGCTGCAAGCCCACTGAGGGCTCCAGAGAGGCCCTGCTGCAGAGAGGATGTGAGCTGGGCCCGCGACCCCAGCCGAGGTGGCCCAGACACCACACTTGGGCTCCAGATGCCCTCTGTGGCCCCAAATGAAGGCTACATGATTTCAGGGACATTTCCAGGGTGGCCCGGGCAAGACCTTGACCATGCCTCTTCTTTGCGTTGCCTCAGGTGGACGGGAAGAGGAAGGAGGGAGGTTCTGGCTCTGGAGCACCATCAGAACCCCCTGAGTGACAGCGGCGGAGTGTGGGGTGCTGAGACCTTCTAACCGAGTGGTCCCTGGAATGGCTGGCCATTTGGCTGCTGCTTGGGGATGGCCGCAGCTCTCCAAGACCAGCCAGCGAATGTCCTTCCAGGGCAGTCTTACAAGCACTCTGGCTGATGTCAGCAGGTGAAGCAGCCCCTACAGCGAACACAGGACTAAAGAGGGACCTGCCAGCACTCTGCTCACACACCTGTTCCTCTCTACCAAGACAGCCAAGCACCAACAGCCGCTAGAAGTCTAGAAGTTCCAAACCATATTCCAGGAAGAGGTCAAAAACCTGTCCGTCTCCACGTGTCACCTGAGTGTACGCGCAGCTCAGAGCAGCCCAGGCGGATGCTGTGCAATGGGGAGGCTGGCAGCTGGGAAGAGCCCCACATCTGTTACTCGCACCCCAGGCCCACCTTGCCTACGCCCTCACAAACCGCAGCAGGGGCTGGGAGGGGTTTGGTGGAGAGGTTCCGGGAGCCAGCCTTGGGCAGGGAGGCGGGCAAAGACAGGAGGAAAAGAGGGTCTCAGTCCCCAGAGAACAAGGAGAGGGCAGTGCAGAGCCGGAGTGAAGGCATCACGGGAGGGCCAGGGTGACAGACCTGAGTCTTCTGACACTAAGCCCACTCAACACCGGGCACCCCAGCAGGGGATGGGCACTGCCCCTGACAGAGAGTTGCTGGGTCCCTGGGTAGATGAGGGAAGTGCATCCCAACTGCCACAGCACAGCAGCTTAGCCCAGCCCCAGCCTGGGCCAGAGGACTCAGGTGGTGGGACAGCCTCGGCAGGGGACCTCAGTGCAGCTCAGTCCAGCAAGCACAAAGCCAAGAATATCTTGGCCTTCCGAGGAAGCTCATTAAAAAAACAATCTACCTAGTGTCTGCAACATAAATGCAGGGAGTGGAGGCGGAAAAGAGGGACTTGGAGGGCGGGGCGCTGTCACCTGCCTGGTGGCACAACCCACTTGCAGAGTGGGTGGCAGAGGGGGTCTCCTGAGGGCCCTGGAAGCCCCTCCCCACCGGCCGCATGCTGCTGAGCTGGCAGTTTCCAGGCTGGCAGCCCACCTCGGCGAGAGGCATCTGCGTTTTCCATTTTTGCTCCACAGATGCTTTCTGGGCAGGGGGAGCCGGGCCTCTCTGGTGCAGCACCTGGGGCCCCATCGGCCTCACGAGGTCCTCCCACTCTCGTGGACAAACTCTCGAGAAAGGAGGCCAAGGCCCTTCACCCATGGGACCCACAGGGGTGCAGGAGTGCAGGGCTGCAGGAAGAGCATCCTGATTGCAATCTGGGGCTGAGGTGGCCTCTGCTGAGTAGGCTTACTTCAAAGGCTCCAGCTTCTTGGCAGCCTGAAGCTTCCACGCACTCCTCTTAAGCTCCTGAGCTGTTAAGTCCCTCTGGCAAAGGGGGCGGCCCCCACCCTCTCACCCATAACAGGCAAGGAGGCGCCTGTTGGGATTGGTCGGTCACCAGCTCTGGGAGACTGCTGCTCTGGCTGGCAGAATGGTGGGCGGGGGCATGGCTGCAGTTCCAGGCCCAGCTCAGCCTAGCACAGAGCGGCTGGACCAAGTTTAGGGGGCTCTGCAGCAGGAATATGCATCTGTGCAGAGCAGACCAAGGGCTGGGCCGGAAGCAATCCTTCAGGGACCCTAGACAGGCAGCTCTGTGACCGCCAAGTGTAAGGGGCCTAGAACGTTACCTCCCAAGCTGGGAGCTGGTGTGTGTGTGATGTCCCTCCAACTCTAGGACCCCAATTTCCTGACAGTCTGAGAAAGACTACAGAGCAACGATTGAGGGCTGTGCAGGGGAGCAGTCACTTGGACTCTGCTCAGCTCCAGGCTGGCCAGACCTTTGAGGCTCCCCAAGCACACCTGAGAGCCTGCAGCCTCTGGACTCAGAGAGACAGGCGCACACCTGCAGCCGCCCAGCCTCCTATCCCCAGCCAGTCTGCAAACTCAGTCCCAAGGCAAATTTGGAAGAGAAACAAAAGGCAGGCAGGAAGCCCTGCTACTGGCCCTTCCCAGCCCAGACTTCAGGGAGGAAAGCCGCGCAGGGCATCCCTGTGGGACAGATGGGCACCAACCAGAACAGGAGGAAAATAACCCCAACTTTAACTGCTGGAAACCCAGCAGCACCCCAGGTGCCCCTACAAACTGCTTCCCAGGAGAGCTGCCCCAGCGCCCTCCCATGCCCTGCTTCCTTACTGCTGCTCAGCTCTGTGCTCCCCAACTCCCGCGGACATGGAGCTGTGGGACCCCAGGGAAGGGGTCTGCAGCACAGGTTCCCTGGACCAGCTCAGCTACCCCCAACCTGGCTGGTGGCTTCCTGGGGAAGGTGGCTCCTATCGTTGGCTTTTGTTCCTCTCTCCAGGCAAGCCTGTGCTGGAAGAACTCCGCGGACAGGCCCACTGAAAGGACAGGCGGCATGCCTCCTCCCCGCCCCCAGCCCCAGGTCAACAGGGCCTTTGTTCTACCTGCACACACCGGCAGGAAGGCGGGCAGAGCCAGCCCCCTTCCCTGGCAGCTCCCTCACCCTCTGAAGGCAGGTACCCTAGGCACAGGGGCGGCCCCTCACTACTCTCACTTCGACTTTGGGGATCACAGCACCGGAGGGGCACGGGGAAGCCAACACTCCAGGTGGGCCACGCACACTCCCGGAAGCCCTCGTCCCCAGGGCCAGCAGGCCAGACCTCATGGCGTACAGCAGGTGAGGTGGCCCGAGGGCAGCGGTGCAGCCAAGCCGGCAGTGGGACAGCAAGAGGCAAGAAGAGGGTGAGAGCGAGGTCAGAAAGCTCAGTGACAGCCGGCCAGGGCAGAGGAGCTGGGAGTCTCGAGCGCCCGGCAGGTCGGGAGGGGTGGTGGCGAGTGGGGGCCCCAAGAGGGCCGGAAAGGGGGCTGGGGAAGGCAGAAAACGGGAATGGGGAGGGCAGGCCGACCCAGCACAGCCCGGCGGGCACACGGCCCGGCCTTGGGGGCGCAGCCGCGCGAGGATCCCGCCGCCCCGGCGCTCACCTGGGAGTGCGCAGCGCGGCGGGGTCGCGGCGGTCCAGCACGCCGGGCACGCAGTTGGTGAGCTCGGTCCAGTCGGCGTGCAGCCCGCAGCTCCAACCGGTGGAGAAGCGGGAGAAGAGCCAGGTCTCGCGGCGGTTGGGCCGGTAGCAGGTGCACTTCTTCTGGCCCGGCCGGCAGTCGCAGGGCACCTCGAGGCGGACGTTCTGCACGAGGTGGCGGCCGAAGGTGGTGCCGCCCGTCTTCTGGATGTGCAGGAAGACGATCACGTCGTCGCCCTTCATGTCGAAGCGCAGCGAGCGCTCCAGCTCGCGCACCGGGAAGTAGTACTTCTTCTCGTAGTGGGGGTCGGGCGTGGGGAACAGGTCCAGGTCGTCGGGCGGCGCGCGGCCGCCGGGCGCGCCCAGGCTCAGCCCCGGGCCCGCGTACTGGTACAGGATGAGCATGAAGCACACCGAGCCCGCCACCACCAGCACGAACTTGCTGGCGCGCTCAACCATGGTCCTGCCGCCGGCGCGCCGCCGCCGCATGTGTCACCATCGCCGGGGCCCGGACGCGGGGCGCGGGGCCTGGGAGGGCGGGGGGCGCGGGCGCTGCTGCCTCCGCCGCCGCCCGCGCTCCGGCCCAGCCCGGCTACTCGGCGCCCAGGC